TCCATCGCTTTTTTTAACCAGCTTGGCATCGGTGTATCGAATTCCCAGCCTGACAAAGGTTCCACGTCGAGAATTTCGGAATCATCGGAAATGTCACTTCTATCATTTTCAACATATTCATCAAAGGAAACGTTAAACGTTTTGGCCTGTATCGTATTACAAAAAAGTGATCTGTGTCATGTCTGTACAGAATTCATTTGTTTATAAACTGTGAGCTTATGTATTACCTTTTTTGTTGATGTTGCAGAAACAGTTTCTTCATCGATTTTTGAGGCATTCCGTTTGTAAGTCGAAATTTGTTTTTTTTTCACAGCGGAAGAAGTTTCCTTAAGATGGCTGAGACCTATTTCTTCGAACTCCATCATTCCTTCTTTCTGAAAATCAAAAAAAAAAAAGAGTTAGAAAAATATTAGTACTAGATAATATTCTTGCAAAGACAACCTACCCACTGCAATTGGGCTCTTTCATTAACTACCTCGGATTCCATGATAATGTCTTCTAGGTTCCAAAAGAGTTTTACCGAACTCGATTTTTTATCATCCTTTATTATAAAAAATCAGATTAGAATAATCATATACAACGTGCAAAGTAATGCTCATCAAAGTAATACTGCGTGATCAAACCACAGACAAGCAAGCAACTTTTGCCTTGCAAGCAAGCAACTCACAAGGTGTCTGTGCGAACAAGCAATCCGAAAACTATCACGGACGAGCAAGCAACTCTTGCCTTATAAGCAAACAACTCATAAGGTGTCCGTGTGAGCAAGCAACTCACAAGATAGTCCGTTGAAACACTACAGCATTTCTCCCGTGAAAACACCCAACAAAACAAAATAACGCGCCTTAAATTCTTTCTTCAATTTCTGCGCCTTCTTCCCGATTTCAGTTGTTTCATTATAATAACTAGTAATAGCATTTTGTTCAAGATTGTATCGACTGTGTTCCATCTCTGGGTCGTTTAAGTCACCCATACAGCGTCGGAAGTCTAAGAACTTCTTGAGCGAGGGATCCTTTCTGTTCCGCCAAAAGGCTAAGTATTCACAACCGATTACGTTAAAATAGAAAACATTGTTATAGGAAATAGCTTTAGTCTTACCAGGATATTTCAGGGCATTAAAACATTCAGGACTTAGGTACATTATTACGTCTTTATAAGTCACGAAAGAAAAAAAAAGTTTTTATCAATACGAGATTTTTTTTTATAATCTCATCTGTTAAGTTTACTATATATGGAATTTGACGCTTAATTTTTTATGATTGGCTGATAAACATCGCCTTAATTTTTGTAAAAATTTACTGTGATTGGTGAAATTTGTTGCTGATCATCACCAAAATTATAAAAAGCACGTGACTACTTTTTTAAATGTATCGCGAAATTTTTAAAAAATGCCGCGTTTACCAAATTATGGACCTTGTAAAATAAATAATTGTAATAAAAATGTTGTCAAATTTCGTACTTTTACTAAGCTTACATATGAAAAAGCTAAAACAAAAGGAACATTTAATATATATAACTATTTAAAAGTTGGTGACCATGTCAAATGCATTACAACAATATTGTTGAACCCGACCGAAATAAATATTCAAGTTTGCCTTTAAATAATTTGCCAA